TACCTGTCTGTGTGTAGCCAGGAAGAAGCACACCTGACCTTCTTAAAAAATGCTATCTGTAAACCTACCAAGAGCATAAAAGCAGCTTAAAACTTAATGGACCCAGCTCACTGTGGTAAAATTATTCAGCTTAACCTTGGTGCGACACATTGCACTCAAATGCAAGTGTATCAGCCTAATAACGGTGACACACAGTGAAGAGCTAGGCTCCTCACTTTCAAGGTGAAAAGGGCATTCATCATATCATTGTTCTGAAAGTTTCCTCCTCTTTCCCTGCCTCACTGCTGTATCAGTAACACAATGGACAGCCAAAGCCCCCACCATCCCCATGCTGTTTAAGATGCTCACAGTGCTTTTAGGGAGTAGCATAAAAGGCTGTTGCTGCAAAAAAGAAGGGGAATCATCTGCTCTGCCTAGTCATGGTGGATAGGACAAAGACTAATGGGCTAAAATCGCAGTACAGAAAGTTCAGGTTAAGCATCATGAAAAACAGTGAGTATGGTGAAGCATGGAATAGATTGCCCAGGGAAGCTGTTGCATCTCTGTCACTATAGATCTTTAAGATTAGGACAGAAAACTATTTATCAGGAATGACACAGATAAAATGGGTCCTGCCTTGGGCAGGAGGATGGACTGGAGACATCCTTAAGTTCCTCTCAGATCTACTTTCGCACAAGACTACTGATGAAATGCAGTTGCTGTTACTGAAATGCAGACAGGTGTCCTTTCCAAATAGCCTTCCAAAATCCTACAGCATTTTGTGAGGATTTCTTGCTATCACAGAAACAGAACATTGTCAAATTGATTCAGTTGATCTCACCTTCTTAATAGCCAAACCACTTCTCAGCCTGAAAGTCAAATCCTTGAAGTGATTTCCAGCCTCATAACCAGTGTGTGATAGCTGACTGTTGTACGGCTGACCCTGCAGGTTGGTGCAAGTCTAATTAAAGTTACATTCCTTCCTTTGGGCGGATTTTATTATATTTTGTAAAGAGAGATTCCACCAATTAATTTCCCTCAATTAGATAAGTAAGACCATGCTGCAGCACCTACACAATACTGTATGAAGAGTATGACGGAAGGCATAATTTATTTCTACAGGACTTGCAGTTTCTTCATGGGGTTTACAGTTTTGGTGGGTTTGCGTTTTTCTTCTGTGACATTCTGCAAAGGGATCCAGACTGCTGTGGTAAGCCTAGTTATTTTAAAGACCAGTTGTATTCAACACCGGTCTGTGAAAATCCCTTTCGTGTCAGGACTTGAAAAACTGAAGTTTAGAAAACTACTGATACTACTTCTGGCACAATGGTATTTTCAAGATTTCCTTCAAAACTAGGGGTCTGAAAAATGTACTTGCATGAAACGAAGAAAGTGAATATGTTGATACCATGATAATTTTAAGAACCATGATTTTACATACACTCCAATCATTGCACAATTCACAATAAATTCATAAGATAAAGAGACAGCAAAGACCATTCACTGCAATCTTGTGGAAGTCTTCACGCTCCAGTTATGAAATAGGCTGATCATATTTGACAGCCAGCATTTTCACAGGAGCATTTAGTCCTGTTAGTCTCACATTAGTCCCCCCTGGAAACACAGACCTGTTGAAAGGGCAACAGCACAGAAGATTCCTTTTTCTCCTGTCATCACCCTTGATTTTAAACATTAGACAGAGGTGAGAAAAAAAAAAAAAGTGCAGATTATAGTCATTTTCTCTTGGGACCACTCAATGAATAGGGATTTGACATGCACCATAATGCATGTACTACTAAAAGGGGTTGAGAAGATAGTTAATAGAAGACTTACCTTAGTAACCATGGAGAGGAAAAAAGGCACAGGTATTAGGAGCAATATTAAAGCATCCAGAAGAGAAAACAAAAATACTGTTTATAGTTTAGAGTAGGTCTATGCCACAACTAAGATTTAAACTCAAAAATAAGAACATGAGAATGGGTATAGAAAACAAATCAAAGCACTGGGGGCAGAAAAGAATCATAGATGAATATCAAATGTGTCATTATAGCTCAGTTCTGCTTTTGAGCTTAGTAACAAAGTTGTTATTAGGTAAAAGATTATTTGCTCATGTGAAAACATGAAATGCATAAACTACCTGTGCACCAGGGCGATCGCAAGGAGCAAGGTGATCTGTACGTTGCTCAAATCATCCCTGATAATACACAGCTCAGAGCTGGAAAACCTACACCACTTGCAGGCTCCCCTTGCTGAATTTGGAGCTTTTACAGAGAGTGGCTCGTTCAAAGAGATCTAAGTAGATATCTAAGAACGGGTCAGAAAATGCCTTGATATATTCTTGAATCTGGGCCCATTTGAAAAAAAAAAAAAGCAAAATATTTCAAAAGACTATAATTTTTTTTATTTCTACAATAGCTGGACAAAATACTGAAAACATTAATGGAGTGATGGGAAAGGAACTGTTGGAGCTCTGATTCTCTGGTGAAAGTGGAGATTGATATATTATAGTGTAGAATAAGTTCTCCACACTTAAACAGAACACGGCCATAGAAGAAAATCCTCATTAAAGTACTATTAAATGTACAGTTACTGAATATGGTTGATGTTGTAGCTGTATCTACTTTCAGTATTCTCCTACTAAATACATCACACAAATTGAATTTTCCATAGAGACCTATAATAAAATTTTTATACTATTAAACAAAATAAATTACATTATATTAAAGCAGAAACTTAAAACAGAAATAAGAAGTTACTCCAACAATTTAAAAAGGTAAGCATCTTAAAAAAAAAAAAGAGCACACAGAGGTTTTTCCAAACAGGTAGGGAATACAGGCCCTTCAAGGGAATCAAGGGTTCTATCAGTATTATAATATTACATCTGGAAGGTGGATCGTGAGGTGAAATGCACAATGTCACCTGGAAATGAACTATTAATATCACGAAATACACACAAAGTATTTTCCGCTCCCAGACCCCATAATACTTCTAAAAATATAAATAATTCAAATGAATAAATGAAGAAACTAAATTAAAGCTACTGTCTAATGTAACCTTTATCACAAAAAGCTAGTTTGTCTGTGCAAGTTCAGTATTTCAAAGGATGATTTTCTTCAAGTAGAGTAAATCACTAATTCATGAAAAACATGTTGATTGTCCCATTGTAAAAATGGCAGAAAATCATCAGGCTAGCAAATCCCCAGTCAGCATACAGTTTGCAAAAGTATCAGTGGAAACAGCACACATGATTAACATCCTGTAAAGATCCCAAGGGAATGCAAGTAAAGGAAGCAAATATGAGATGAAACATTCATAGTAATTAGAAAAATCCCCCAAAAATGAAACGGGCATCTTTTCACTAGGAATTTATTTTCATTCCTAAATAACTGTACCTCAAGACTTGACAGATAGATTAAATCCTTGCTAAACTAAACCTAAGTTTACACTACTGTTTTCCACAAACATTTGGAAGAATGAATTGCACGTGTATGTGAAAGTTACCATTATAAGAAAAAAGTGTACTCAAACACATTATGGATAACTATTTATCATTCAAAGTCTCATTCCATACTTTTTGTTTGTTTTAACACATAGTCTCTTCTTAATGAATGCATAAAAAAAATAATTTGGAAATAAGTACTTTTTCCTTTGTTTCAAGAACTAGTAACTGAGTCACGACACCTTATCCTGAGCATCTTTGTATTTAGTACTCCCCCTCTGATTATAATTAGTACCTCCCACTTAAAGGCTGTCTACTTATCTCTCAATGGACATTGATTATGCCTCCATTAGGAAGTAACCCAGTGGCATGGGAACTGATCAGCAGACAAAAGCATTTCATGCTGTATCCATACATATAGGCTATTTGAGGCATTTTCCTCTGACTAAATTTAGCTGAGTCTCCCCCACTGTACATCCCCAGTGCATATATCGTTGAGAAAAAGTGTTCTGTGCAACCAAGAACTGTAGGGCACCATGAGTGACAAACTAATCTTGATATTAAAATAGGGTGCAATATACAAAAAACATTCATGATTTGAACTCATACACTGTTTTGCAGGGTATGAGTTTATGCCAGTATATGTTTTGGGGGGAAACTGGCTAACAATGGTTCTTACGTGATGCTGTAAAAAGCTGTTCAGGCCAAGTACTTTGACTCACTGCTTACTGAACACGACTGTACTCCACAAGAACAAGGATACTCAATCTTCACTAGTTCTTTTCCTCATAAAAGATTAACATTCTTAAGCAATATAATCTTTCTAACAACTGCATCTTTTTAGGATCTTCGGAACAGCTATCAAGCATTAATAGTCTCCCTTTTCTTCAAAAAATATTTTTAATGAAAGAGGAAATTTAAGAGAAAACCAGCTTGACATGCAAAAGTACTATTTTCTGCTTAAGGAACTCGTGACAGGATAAGCGTCAGGAAAAAACAGGCTTAATACAAGTGAAAACTTCTATACGACATACATCTACCATACAGGGATCTGAGCAAAAATCTTCAAAACCTCCATTAAATTTTCTGTCCAAGACTTCACAGTTATAAAGTATAATTCGAGCAACTTTAAATATTTGTCACATAGTTTGTGCATAGCCAGGTTTGGGCCAGTGAATGGAATACAAAGAGAGAAAGCAGGGGCTGTTATTACTAAACAAAATTAACTACGTATTATTACTTTAGACAATTGTAATGATTCATTTCTAGAAAAGCTAATCCAAATTTTGTTATATAATTTTTGTGTTCTCATTAAAAAAATATGTTGATAGTGGAAGCCTACTGCATTATGCTGTTTATAATTACTTCTGTTTCACAAAAAATGAGCAGATACATTCATTGTAAAAGACACCTCATTTCAAGATCTATGGGCAATGGTCAAGTCCTGAGTACTCAGGTATAGCCTCTAAACATGTCCTTCAGATTACATTATCTCTGCACCACAAATTCATTCCTTACAAATGCTAATAACTTCATAATCCAATCAGTAAGTTCAAATGCTGCGCTTAATGTATGTTCCTACCTGCAAAGGGAACAGGTGCATCTTTATCCAAAGCAACAAGGGGAGGATCCAAAATTACAGTGTCATTGTTTTCAGTTATGATTCCGTGGTATGATGTCTCAATCCAGGGCTTGTGTTTGTTCACTAGAAAAGAAATAGTACACCTAATTAATTTGATTTATGTTTTACATCCATTTAGCTCATTTGTCTTTAAAGAGAAATTATTTAACATACGTCCAATATTCATGTTATTACTCAAAAGCCACTGAGAAGATCCCAAAGTAATTTATAAACATCCAAACATTAAAGAAAATTATTTGAATATTGTACTGCAATTCATTGATGAGAAAACCAACACTTAAAGACATCCCTCCAATTAACACACCAAAATAAAAAGCCAATTTTCAAAATATTTTTAATGTGTTCCCAACAGTCAGACACAATTAGGGTCAGACGCTTTTGAAGAAACTGGTTTCAGTTGCAAAACTCTGATGCAAGAGAAAAGACATCCAGAGAAACACAACTCTTGTCAAGACGCAAAGGCAAGCAGAAGGGCAGGTGAGAATACTGGACTCTTGGTCAACTCCTCCTTTTATATTTTTGGGAAAATATCTAAAATTACTTTTGTGTTCTGTAGACAAAAAATAAACTCCTACATTTTAATCACTTTGTTAAAAGCCACCACCTCTTTTCCATTCAACCAGCTTTAGTTATGCTTAAATGGAATTTGAGTTTTTTCTGAAAAAATCTTTCCTTCAAATACAGCTGTTGAACATTAGATTATCTGGTCTGGTCTTGAACTACTTAATAATTACACAAAAAGATACTTTTAAAGTAGGGGATACAGCACACATCATCAGATTGTCTTGCTCCTGAAGCCTTTCAGTGTGCATCCCTCTCACCAACTATCCCTTATTTACTGGACAGTATGAAGATGCATTTTCCTCTTCCTTTTCATTTTCTAAGAGGCCTAGCTTGGCTCTGCTTATAAGCATTTTGTTCCCACAGCCACAATCTGAATGTTATGTTTGTGGAACTCCTACATAACTAATACAATTGTGTTAACCTAAACAAATTACAGTTTGAAGAATGTACTACCCCAGGCATGAAGGAACACTGCACTAATGAGTATCTACCACATTTTTACCAAGTCCAGATACAAGGTAAGTTTTGTACATATTATTTGTGTGCAGCAGATGCTGATGAAAACATCTACTGAGGTAACAGAAATCACCTCTAAGATGGAGAGTTGACACTTGAAGCAAAACCAAATTGAACCAGATGGGAATATTTAAAATAATCCCACTGTGAAAACAAACAAGCAAGCTATTTGTAAAAAGCAAACAAATATCTTTACAGCAAACTGAAGCTAATTCTTTTTCCTTCCTGGTTATTTATTTAATCATTAAGAAATTGTGGACTCAGGAGTGATCTGAGGTCCTTTCAAAGCTGAATTATATTCTAACCACTAATATGAGAACTTTGAGTTCGTTTATATGTTGCAATACATACTCTTTCAGAAGAAAGCATACTTATCTTCACAGTGGTTTTTCACATTTTTGCAATAACTAAGCAAGGGGAAGATTAAGCTGGGGATGAGTCAGGGAAAGGTGGAATGGAAAATAAGGAACTCAAATCTCTTCATCTTGTAATGACTGTACAGCCAGAGGAGAGATTGGTTAGTATATGTAATAGCATGAAGGCCAAAAGTCTTGTTGTTGAAATATGAGACATGATGGATGCAATTTCAGAGCTTTGTATGGCATTTGGGATTCCAGTTTGCGGCACAGTTGAAGTATTCTGTATCTGTTATCGGAATATGCGAATTGCCTCAATATCCAAACACATAAATATGCTCCATTTGTACTCTGCTATGACTCAAAGGCTTTGATTTACACATGCTATACAGAACAAAAGGCAATCTATTTATTGAAGGCAGATACAATTTCACGATAATGAACTAGTAAGTAGGAATTTGCATGAAAAGGGAACTCTTTACGCAACTAAAAGTTAAAGTACCAAATCCAGCTTTTCCTTCCTCCTGGTTTTGTTGTCTGCTCTCTCCCCAAAAACAAAACACAAAAACCCCAACTACACACAACGCCCAAAAAACCCAAACTAAAAAAAACCACAAAAAGACACCAAAAAACCCAAAATGCAAAAAAAACCCCTTTCTTCCTGCAATAGATTCTACAGAATAGTTTGGATGACACTCTTGCTTAAGAAACAGTCTCAGTATTCAGTGACTGCAATTCTACAAGCCTTATCTTTTTTCCATTACTGTCCCATGAGCAATAACAACAATCAAATGAGTGACAGCCACATAATTCCTTAAATTACGTTGGGGTGCGAAGAGGAGAAAATAGATTATGAACAAGTTCTACAATTTAGCCCTAGACCTTAGAGACTGAAATAAGGAAGAAGAAAGAAACAATAAAACAAAAGCAAAATAAAATAAAAGGTCAAATTATTTGTAAGCTCTTAAGAGGTACATCTCCAAAGGAAAAACGACTATACGAGCTTTGTGTAACCTATGGTGTAGCCATTTTAAAAATAGTGGAAATTATACACACTCTTTAGGACTGCAAAACCATCCTTTTGCATCAGAAGATCTATACGTTTGAAATATTTTCACATCATGAAAATTATTCACCCTTTACACTGTTTTAGATACTTGTTTTGAAACGAGAAATTTATTGAGTGTGCTTGGAAAACACACTGTTCTTTGCAAAAGGTTGCTAAAATGTTAACATAGAAACTCTTATTAATGCATACACCACTGCATAGGCTTTCATAAGATGCTAGATTCTAAAAAAATCATCCTCAAATATAAAATGATTAATGAATACTCTACATTTCTTTCTCCAAGACAAAGAGGGCAGCTACAAAATGTTAGACTGGCTCAAATCAGACCCACAGATCAACACACCTCTCATAAGCCTCTGATATTTTCCTACCCCTACACAGCATCTTTGAAACAGACACAATTTTAAAAAATAATTCAAACCTGGTTTGTCCTGTCTCATTCTAGCTACTGATTCAAATTTCAAAATACTTGAGAAGTATATATTTTTAAATACAAATTAAATATTGAGTTGTACCCTCTTAAAGAGCATAATTTGTTTTCCCCGCTTATCTACTCTCTCTATTTTTATAATACTGATATATTGAAACATCACCTGCAACTCAGCCACTAATCCCTCTGCCTTAGTGTAGGGCCTGCACCTCAAAACATGACTTCCTGTAATTTAACCAATATTTCCTTATACCCTCCATTTTTGTAGCCCTGACCTTCAAATAATTCTTTTTATTACTGTAGGAAAATAAATTTAATATGTTTGAGATAGACTATCAGGCATTCAGATCCAGGCTGTATTCATGATTAAGGGAGTAATTTGTGCTTTAGACAACATATATAAAATATTGGAAGAAAATTACAGAAATTCCATGAGCCAAGTAGATTTTTTTCAGAGTGTTAAGTTTTGACAGACATCCAAAGCCATATCTGAAAAAAAAAAAAAAAAAAACCCCACCAAAACAAAAAACCACTCCCTTTTCTGACTATAATTTCTTAGAACCTAAAGATCTTAATGTAAATATATACACTTATAGTTTTCGTTTCAATTTACATTTAGTTTAAAATGCCCCCCAAACTATGTTAAAGTTGCATAATTTTCTCAGTTACACCAAAACCAGTCAAACTTTAGGTCAGGTTTCCAATGCCACAGTAATGCCACACTGTATTTATTTAAACACCAGAAGAAAAGTTTTACCATGCTGTCTACTTTAGGCTATATGAAACTTTATGTTTAAATAGGAAAAAAAAAAATCACATTATTTAAGAAATTATGTAATTCCCATTACGTAAGGTGCTTACTAGAATCTCTTAAAGATAAACATATACATTTTTGGAATGTTTATAAACCTTAAAACAAGGTGGGAATTGTTTATTTTATCTTTAAAATGGAAGAGGCACTAATGGTTAAAAAAATATTTTAATGATTCTTAGCAGTGCTCACAATTAACAACATTCTATAAAAAAGTGATAGCAAACTACTTTTTTTTAATTTGCATTTGCTAAAGATGATGGAAGAAATCTACATACAGGTTTGTATATGAAGTTTCAGGAACTGTGAGAGCAGAATACTATATGGCAAACTAAACTCAAAAAAGTGAACAAGCTGGATACTCAGCAGATAAGAGCTATAGAGAAAATTCTTTTCCCTCTTAAGGTGTATTAAGTTGTAGCACACTTAGGTTAACTCTAAAACTGAATAAAAAAAAAGAAAAGAAAAGTACATTATTGTCTTTTTTACGAAAGATTTTCTCTGAAAGCATTTATCATTTACCTTTTCCTTGCATTTGTCTAGCTGGGTAAAAGCTAGACAAATCAGCACAATGCCATCATGAATTCAAACACATTAAGTTAAGATGTTGGTTTTCTGAACTTTCCTCCCTTCCTGTAATTTATAATTTATTAGTCATTCATATAAAATCATAATGTAAATAATTTATAGCATCTAGAAAGCAAATAATCTCTTTCCTTTATTACAGATAGAGGTCAATTCAATTTGTATGCACCATTTACATAGCATTTTCATAGACTGGCCCACCAAAGCTTCCGATTACAAGCCTTCGGATGTAATTAAACCATCTTGTGAGAAAACTGCCACTCTTTGTTCCATCTGCAAACACACTTGGCACATGAAACAATGAAGTAGAAAAAGGCAAAAGAAAAACTTATTCTATAGAGTCTGCAGGAAATCTCTTGCCCCCAGGAACGTTGTCTTGAAAGACAGTTCAAGGACAAGCCCCAGAATTTAGCACGATGAAAGCAGAGAAAGGCTGGAAGATGTTTCGAACTCCCAAAATATGCCAAACACTTACATTCTACTTTGGTGCCTTCTCGCCATCCTCTGCAGAGTGCCCTGGGTTTTACCCCTTCCAGATGGCATGCTCAAAACCCCACCCTGCTATTTGCCACCTGATACATGGTGAGAAAAACAACTGACCCCTCACGCTAAACTCCCCTACAAGCTATGATTGCATCTGAGCACTTTACACCTACATCAAACGGCCCATGGGAAGCTCCGTAACGGAAACAGAACAAAATCACAGACAAGACACTGATACATCAGCAGTAG